CTTAAGACTACTCTCGAAGATCAAATCCGTAAAACGACAACCTTGTTACAAACACTTCAAGCATCTGGTGCAATGATTGAAAGTCTCGTTCATGGACATTTTCGTGAAATGAAAAGAGAGGTTATTAAGGATATGACTGCCTTAGAAAAAAGACTTTCAAAAATTGAAGAGCGTGTGCATAATAATGCTGCTAATACGGGAATGAGCCTTAGTCCACCTCATGATACAGATAGAAGACTTAGTGATATTAGTACCGTTAGTGATGATATGGGTTATAAAAATAATGGGAATACATCAAAGCTTGCTCAAACTGATGGCAAAGATGGCTCATCGCAATTTTTGTCAGCGGGGCATCAACATTATAGCCCACCTTTGTCTTCCTCTTCCTCTTCATCACGTAATGAAGAGACCCAGCCTCAAGATTACCAAGATGCATTGCTTTCTTTGAAAGCTAGGTTAGAATCCTTAGAAAGACGTATGTCCATCCCATAAATATCTTTGGAATTTGTGTCATCGTTTGATTGCCTTATAAACCTGAATTTCCTCATAATCCGAATCTCCTCCTACCATTATTTACGGCACACCGACCAAATAAACTCGTTTATAATGAACATTTACTTTACATTCCTTTAACAACTATTTTATGATTTATCTATTATCATTTTTATTATTTTTTATTTTAATAATGATAGCAAATAGAATTATATAGATTTACTTTATTTTTCTTATTTGTTTATTTTAACATAAAGAATTAATTTGATTTCTCATGTACTTTTGTACAATCAATAGTTCGGGCATTTACTATATTACATATTTTATTTTAATTGCCATGAATCAATAATTCTTTATTCAATTTAGAACTTCTACCATCTTAATACATTTACTATATAATGCATAAAAAGAAAAAAAAAAATCATAATATTTCATTCATTTTTAACTATACACGGACAATTGACAAAAAATTTTACCAAAAAATATTTTCGTATCGAAATAATCATATATACACGAATATAGCTTGAGAAAATTTTACAAAAAAATATCAAAAAAATCAAAAGTATACATTTAATAATTTAATACGTATTAATATTTTCTTTGTTTTTGAATATTGGATCTTATTTTTTTAAAGTTTATTTGTACGTGATTCAATCCAAATAAACGGTTTTTTTCTTTTTATATTTACACCATGAAAGTTACAAGACTTCAACTCGGTGTGTATTCTATTCAAGGCAATCAGCAACCTTT